GTACCTGAAGATAATAAGATAAAGAGATCTCAATAAGTTACGTCTTTATTGGGTAATAATAGAACCGATATAAAATGATCGTTGACGATATTGTTAATATAATGTAGCGCTCAATATTATTAATATTGACGAGGATCTTGAGCTCAAATCTGTCATGAAATTTGGACAGATAAATGATTTGCCAAATGAAAAATACGCAATGAAAATTAATTTCACCTGAAAAGTATGAAGTTGGACGGATAGTCCCAACATCTGAAAGTATAAAGCCAGTGGAGGTATAAATGTGTTCTTGTACGGAAAAAAAAGGTCAAGTCGATAAACATAAAGACGACTTGTGTCACAAAAAAAATTGTAAATATCCTGGCATTGATTATATAGAGACATGTTCTCCTGTGGTGGATGTCGTCATTTCAGGTTTTAATCTGGCAATATAAGAAAAACGTGATATACGTATAATGGAAATCATTGAAGGATTTAAATTGTTCTGAAGCATATTAAGGTTTCCGAGAAATTTATTAAATAAAGCTTCAAAAATCCTTATACGGGTTGAAACAATCAGGGCGCATGTGGTATAATCGCTTGAGTGAGTACCTGTTGAAAGAAGGGTACAACAATGAATCAATTTGTCCTTGTGTCTTTATAAAAAGATCTGGATCTAAATTTGTTATAATCACCGTATATGTTGATGATTTAAATATCATTGGAACTCCTAGGGAGCTTCCTAAAGCAGTAGACTATTTAAAGAAAGGATTTGAAATGAAAGATCTTAGAAAGACAAAATTTTGTCTTGGTCTACAAATTGAGTATATGAAAGATGAAATTTTTGTCCATCAACCAGCATATACTAAAATGATTTTAAAGCGATTATATATGGATAAAGCACATCAATTCCGACATCATGAAAATAATGAAGAGTTTCTTGGTCTCGAAGTACCATATCTTAGTGCAATTGGTGCCCTAATGTATCTTTCTAACATTACAAGGTCTGACATAACTTTTCCAGTTAATGTCTTAACAAGATATAGCTCTGCCCCTACAAGGAGACATTGAAATGGAATCAAACACATATTGCGGTATCTAAAAGGGACTACCGATATGGGATTATTTTATGACAATGATTTCAATCCCGATCTTGTTGGTTATGCCGATACTGGGTATTTATATGACCCACACAAGGCTCGATCTCAAACATGCTATGTGTTTACATATGGAGACACTGCCATATCTTGGCGATCGACTAAGCAATCAATCGTGGCTACTTTATTTAATCATGCTGAGATAATTGTTATTCATGAAGAAAGTCGAGAATGTGTATGGTTGAGGTTTATAATACATCTTATTCGAGACAAATGTGGTTTGAAGTGTGACAAACTACCCACAATTTTGTATGAAGACAATGCAACATGCATAGCCCAATTGAAGGGAGGATTCATAAAGGGGATAGAACAAAGCAAATTTTACCAAAGTTATTTTTCACACATGATCCAATGGCTGATATGAATGGTGATATCAATGTGCAACAGATCCATTCAAGTGATAATATGGCTGATATGTTCACCAAATCTCTACCGACGTCAACCTTCAAGAAACTAGTGTACAAGATTGGGATGCGAAGGTTCAAGGATGTGAATTGATGCTCTCATCAGGGGGAGTTAATACGCGTTGTACTCTTTTTCCCTTACAAGGTTTTGTCCCACTGGGTTTTCCTTGCAAGGTTTTTAACGAGGCAACCAAAAGGCGTATTTCTAAACATGTGTACTCTTTTTCCTTCATTAGGATTTTTTTTCATAGGGTTTTTTCCTAATAAAGTTTTAACGAGGCACATTATTTATGGACATCCAAAGGGGAGTGTTATAAGAAAAATCAAATTATGGTGGATGTCTACTCTTCCTCCATGATCTTCTCAAATGCTTAATGACATATTCAATGACATATTTCTATGCTTAATGACATATTTCTATGCTTAATGACATATTCAATGACATATTTTTCTTCACTTTTCATGCCTATATAAAGGCCTTGTAATAGATAAGAAAATACACACAATTGAAGAAGAAAATCTCTTCCTTCTCTCTATCTCTATTTCTTGTTCATGTTTTACTAAATTGCTTTTATTTCATAACAACATGTCTTGTTCATGTTTTACTAAATTGCTTTTGTTTTATAACAACTACCATATTTGTAAGTTTAATTTGAATTTCAAGTATGGGAACTTTTAACTGTTTCAAATAAGGACTAAAATATTAACCAAATTTTAGTTAAAACTATAATCCTAAGTATCTAGGAGATAATTAAATGAGGATTCATAAATATTAGGAAATTAATATAAATGACTATTTTGTCTAGTATGAACTCTATTTTTTTAAAAGACGAATGTCATTTTGCTAAGGGTCTTCGTGCTTTTAATAAACTATAAATTTTATTTTTCTTTTTGGGGCGGGGGGAAAGGCGTAGGGAGGTAGTAGTATATCTAAAAATTGAAGTTACAGCAAGATCAAGTTATGTAGAAGTGCTCCCTCGCCCCACTCAGTGCAACCACAGACCAAGTTAGTCCTTTATTAGAGGAACTTGGCAAAGAGGCCTTGATACAAATTGTTTCCTCGGTTTTACAGCAGGGAAAAGGGAACCCCTATAGAAGTTACTCGAGTAAACATCAACCTGAGAAGGTTAACCCTGTGGTCAAGTTACCTATACAAGCCATCCCAATGGTTATAATACAATGCATTGACATACAAAACCAAGAAAAGCAAAGTATATGCAGTAGATATCTACTCAGAACAAAACAATCATGTACAATTGCAGACTCAGAAGTATCACCCAAAACCGGGAGCTTAGAGCTACGAACTTGATCCACACTCTGCTGGTTTTGTTTCATTGGTAGCCTCGTCGGAAGCAGGGAGTGTCTCGCTAGAAGCTGGGAGTTCTTCAACTGCAGAAGCCCCAGACTGAAAAGGCTTCTTGAATTGCACCAAAATCATGGTCATGTTGTCACATCCTTCACCTCCAGCAGTAGAAGGTGCCAAACACCTATCGAGAACTCTTTCACATACTGCAGAAAGCTTGCTTTCCTAAAAATCAAACTTACTGTCAGTCTGTATTTTAGTGCACACAGAAGAACATTTATCTCTGGACTTCACATATAATCAAAGCCCCAGCCTATGATATGAGAAAGCCAGATCAAACAATATATCCTATCCCCCAACACCACCCACCAAGCGCAAAATGGACAACAATTAAAGACGTCTCAACGGAGAGGACAGCACATTGATTGAAAATTTTTATCAAGACGATGAGATGTCTGCTCATGTATCTGAAGATACCACATGATCTAAATGGACTAGGGACTATTTAGCAGGTCTTGATATTTGGCTGCAGCCGGTAATCCAGCAGACTCTAGAGTAATTTATAATAGGCCTTTGAAGCAGAGTAATCAAAAACCAGAAATGTCTACGAAAAATGAAATTAAGGTTATGGTTGATGAACAAACAGACACCCAATAAGGCAAATGGACCTCCTTAGCCATTCCTGGTGATTCAGTTTTGCTTATTACTAGGTAATCAATTGAAAACAATTGCAACCACTGAGCTCCATCAGTTGGGCAATAAAATATACCAGAATGCATCTCAAAAAAACAAATAATTCACTCTTTTCCTATTGAAGATATCATTTTGATGAAGTGCATGCATGTTTATTTTGTTCTTTTTATTTTCCGTAGTTCTCAAACAAATTAATAGTACATCAACAAACAAAAGGTTCAGCTACGTGGACCTGTAGATAAACATAAGAATCAGTATGTAAGCACATATTATCTATGTTGCTCGGACTCGGGTGCAGGTATCTGATCCGAGTGTGGATTTGGATATTGGGATACGACCAATAAATGTGTGTGTGTGTAGGAATATATGGCATAAACCCAAAAATCAAACCAAATACTTCTCAGTCATAGAATGTAGTCAAAGTACTCAAGGTAAGTTGACCAAATCCGGTATGGATCCCACACCCACACACATGCCGTGTTGACACGGGCCGCACAGCATAGCATATTACCAGCTACAGAGAAGCTTTTGTTTTTCAATCACTATGCAAACAAAATGTCAGACACTATATGTCCCTCCATTAATGATTACTTGCAGATGATTTTTTCCCATTCTATACATAGTTCGACTTGACTCAGCCTTTTGCCAATGTTAAGAGCAAAAACTTTATCATGTAAAATGCAAAAAAGTTTCATTCTGTTGAAGTTGCTTATTTTGAACTCGGCTAGCATGCATGGTAAGCAAAACTATTCCTTTTTCAGGCTTCACTGGTAGCAATATAATGAACTTTAGATGACTAAATTATTCCTCTGTTAGTAGCTGACTTCCCAGACAGGAATTTCATCAAACGTTAACACCAATGCAAATGAAGCAGAAAAATGTAGCCAGACTAACCGACTTCAGCTGCTCGTGTATAAAATCCACCAGTTGCTGGCTGGACATACAGTCCCTGAGAAGAAACAGCCACATGAAAAGCTATGTTATATATTTGTTAATATGTATTATCTGATAATCAAACCGAGTAAACTTTGACGAACATCTAAAATGCATACCATATACCATCACACGCTAGCACAATAAAATTATCATCATCGCACAGCTCAACCTAATCAGGGAACAAAGCAACATTAGAACATGTTATCAGAGGAATATATGAAAGAAGAGCGTCGGGTGGAGTGGGTGGGGGTTGAAGGCATGCAAGATTCAAGAAAGAAAGAAATCAAGCAATTAAGCGTCAATCCCAAGGTAGTTGGGGTCGGCCATATGAATCTATGTAGACTAGACATTCTCCCCCTCTTATCTCAATCAACCGTAATACCAATGGTTTTATAAAGCCAAAGTCTATTGCTTTTTCAATTATCAATCTCGCCCACTGAGATTTTAGTATCACCTTCCTACTTCCATTAATTAATACCGAATTGCAATAGTCCAAAATTTCATATTATTTTCCAGTCTCATCGAAAAGTCTTTGCCCATTATCACCAAAAAGTTTGTATTGCATTCAATGACTCCGAAGATACTTTTCAGGTCCTCCCTCATAGTTGTTTGATTTTATCATAGCAAAACGTGATAGAATTAGTGGGAAATTGAGGGGGATGGATACACTGTAGAAAGCTGTAAGGTAAACAAAACATATGGAGTCAATCTTTTTTTCTCAGTATGCAAAAGGCCTTTTTACGTGCATTGACCATATAAGTGCCTAATAGAAAGAAGAAGCATGTGATGAAAAGAAAGAATCAATATACAAAATAGAAAGCGGTGAGCTTGACCAAAGATTAGGAAAAAGATGGACAAACGCAAGAAGAGTAACTGCAGAAAGTCATCCAGCCAAAATTTTCGAATATGAAAAGAGAAAAGATAGAACTCTTGCTGAGTTAGTTTATTTTAATGTACAAGAGGACTTAGTTTATTTTAATGTACAAGAGGACTCCTTAGGTCAAAATTTTGAATTACATGAAACAAGTAATTTTTCCAAAATTCTTTTATTTTTCACTAATAACATAATCATTAAAAATATTCTGCAAGACATTCTTTATATAAGATATTCTTTTTATTTTATAAAGTAATAAATTTTCATTAAGAGAAGGGCAAAACACACCCGTATACGAGAAAGAAGTAAACCAAAAAGTAGAAATTTACACGATATTCCTGATTATTCTTGACTAATATAATCAATAAGAATATTCCATACAATATTATCAACGATTGTCGATTGCTGCCTAGCCCTCCATGATAAATCTCCATAACCAATTGTTATCAGTAGGCTCAATTGAAGACCATTAAATCTCTTACCCACAATCCCCAACACCTTCCAGTTTCTCAAATAATATTTCCTTATCCCTCCGTTGTGTCCCATAAGTTGGAGGGTCCTAGGGGTAGTAAGCTGCACAGCATATTAACAAGCTATCTAAACATTTTCAACGCTTGTGTTCTCCTTTTCAGCCTTATTACACCATTTAAATTTACACTAATTACTTAACCAGGATATCAAGAACCGAAAGAAATCAATTGATATATACCAGAATAGAGAAATTATATCAGCTACTGAAATTATATATAAGAGGTTATTATGTTAGAAACAGCCAGTGGTTCTTTTTTCGTCACTTGTCATTTCAAACTTGCAAAATATTTGTGCATAACCAATTACAGAAAAATCTTTTGGGTTGTGTCCATAAGTTAGGGATATTCGAACAGAAATGAGACAGAAACTTTACTCCATCCAATTTCATCTAAACATACCAGAAAATGTATATTATAAATTTCATGCAGAAGTTAAGAGTACAATTTAAGGGATAACAGAAGGTAGCCTAGAGGCACATGTCAAGAAAAAGCTGATGTTAGTGCCTTGTTGCTTCTTGGCACCAATAAGAGTAAAATATGTTGCCAAACCAAACAACAAGAATAAGTGGATCTAGCTTTCTTGAATAACAGTCATGTCTCAAAGTTACCATAAAACAAATTGCGTACATATGAAGAGCTGAAGGAACTTACAGTGTTTATATCTGGATTGGCAGTTACAATTTGCTTCTCAGCTGGCAAAAACTTGTTCTGCTTGAATTCCATGTCACCTGCAATTAACGCAAAAGGGTGCTAATTATCTTATACAATAGATGGTTACTTCCTTGCCATCTATTCCCAGTTAACCAAAACATTTCTAGTTTGAATTTTTTTTCAGTTATATTTCATCTTCCATTACAGTCATCTATTACTTATCAAAAAAACTTTTTTTTATTACCGAGAAATCCCTGCTGGTCAATGGCGCACGGTACGAAACTCGGTGGAGAATGGTCCTGCCCCTATACCCTTTTCCAATTAAGTACCATGCTTTTGCTTACGACAGAGATCGAACCCACGACATGCGTCTAATCCATACATCACATGCTACAAGTTTATCACTAGGAGCAAAGCCCTGTGCATGAAGCATCCCACGTTCACTCAGGCTCCGAGGAAGGGACGCACCACAAGGGGGTGTAGTGTAGGTAGCCTACCCTGATGCAAGCAGTGGCCGATTCCATTGCTCCAATCTGTGACCTGTAAGTCACACGGAGACGACTTTACCGTTGCTCCAAGGCTCCCCTTCACTAGGAGCAAAGCGCAAGGGGCTTAATAAAGAATTCTTAGCGCTTATTATACAATCCTAATAACAATCTCTATACGTTCAAGTAATGAAGTTTCAAATGCATTTGCATGACAACTAGCTTTTCAATAGATTATTAAAGGTCCACAACAAATAGGAATAATACCTATAGCTCTTGCAAGATTTAGACTTCCATTCACACGTCCTGCATGAATAAAACCACCAGCTTTTAAAATTCTCTCTCTCTCAACCTCAAGATCAGGTTTATGATCCCTCGATAAATTGTATGCCTGCAAAAAAGGGATGTATTGGATATCCGTTCTTTAATTTCACGTTAAGGTTTAAACAGGAAAACTTTAACATAGCATTATCGGACAATATACAAATCCATATCGGAGGCCATGTGAAGGGGAGCCTTGGAGCAACGGTAAAGTTGTGTCCATGTGACCTAGGTTCGAGCCGTGGAAGTAACCACTAATGCTTGCATTAGGGTAGGCTGTCTGTCTACATCATACTACTTGGCGTGCGGCCTTCCCCGAACCTTGCGTCAATGCGGGATGCTTTGTGCACCAACCCTTTTTATATCGGGGGCCATGACGCTATGGCCCAGCTATAGCAAGTCCAGAGACATAGCATGCTGGGCCCCTAGTAGAAAAACAACTTTGGACCAAAAAAAACCACTGCCAAGGAGAAGAATCATTCTACCAAATTATCAAAACCATAGCACATTACCTGGCCCTTCCTTGAAATTACACAGCGAGAGTCACCAGCATTTGAAACAATGAGTTGGTTCCCTCTCATGATTGCAACACAAGCCGTACATCCAGAAGTAGGCCCAGAAAAATCAGAGTGAGGCCCCTGATATCAATATAACACACACTTAGACACAAGCCAATTAAATAATGTCTACAACAACAGTAATGTGCAGGTCAGGCAAGGTTTCATGCTAAAGGACCATATAAGTATGTATAATTTTGAAGGGAAAGATCTATCTACAGCGGTTTTGCCCCATTTTAAAAAGCAGAAGTATTCAGTACAGCATTCACTTATTAAACAGGATCAACTTTAATGAAAGTTCCAACTTCTTAGGTTAACATGAGTATTCATTGAGAAACTTCCATTCTTTCCAAAAGCAAGAAGCAGTAGTAAGTGTACAGAAGTCCATTAAGGTTGGATTGGGAAGCTTTGAATATTCTCAATAAAATACCCCAATTTCCATTTCAAAATGGTTTTATCAGCTGAACAGACAAAAAAAGAGAGGCGTATTATTTTATCTCATTTTAACTCAATATCCTCAGGCACAACAAGTACCTCCTCAAATGCCCAATCATCAACATGGTTGTTTCCATCACCATTTTTTGGAGACCAAATAAGACCCTCTATCATACCCGTGAACTTGTTTAATTTATCCCCTAGTGCAGCCAGCTCCCTCCATCCTCTCTGACCACGCATCATCTCATCAATTCTGCACCAGGAACAGAACAAAACAAAGTCTCACAACGTGCTACAAAAGCACAAAAGCAACTAGTGATTTCATAGTGCAAAAGACATCCATGCAGACCTAGCAAAAAGCAGGGCACAGAAAAGATCTACATAGGCGATATCAATTAGTTGGAATTAAGTTTTAGTCATGTTAGTACGTTTTACTTTTATATGAAGTGGGTCACAACAAATGTCATTAAGGGTAAACGAAGATGATAAGATTAAATAGTTTCCAAAATATAGAAATGCCACAATTTTTTTGACATACTAAAAAATAAAGTATGCCACGTAAAAAATGGGACGGACGAGTACTTACCAAATTCCGTAGTTTAACATTACAACGCCACATGAGTATTCAACTTTTTGGAAATGTCAAGGGTTTGATATGATAAGCACCATCAGAGTACCCGTACAAGCTTTCAACTCATGGGAAAAGAAATATACGGAATAAAATGCATTTGCAGTGAAACAGGACTAAACATATCATCCATCAAATAAATACATTAAGTTAATTAATATAGCCAGCGACAATTCAAGAAATTCAATCCAAACAGGAGTGAATCATTCAATAATCCATTTCAGTTTTCAACCAGAAAATATGAAATGCATAGAGCAAACCCAGTGTATATCGGTCAAAGTTGAAAATTACAACAAAGCAATGGAACAGCACTAACATTAACTACTATAAGTAGCTACTAGGAAAGGGCTCATGAAAACATACATGTAGAATCAGAACTCTGTTTAAACAACAACAACAACAACAACAATAACAACAACAACAAACCCAGTGTAATTATAGTAAACATTAAAAGAAGTAAATAAGTAAACACTAAAAGACAGCCATAAGAGTTCTCAGGATGTTGTATAGTCAATTATAGAACTCAACCTGAAAAAGGCTTTCTGGACTGAAGTTCCTATATCACCATGTAAATATGCTTCATGCTTGAGCACTTGTTGATGTAGATACTTGGCACAGAATTTAGCAACAACTTTACCTGTAGTTTACCAATGGTTCAGTTATATTAGCAGATCAGGAAGTAGCATAACAGTTGTTCAAAACGTTCTTCAAGATGCAAGTTTATACCGGCAATCTTATCTTTCCAGAGCAGGAAAAGTTTGACTAAAGTGTCTGCTGTTTAGTAAGCATGAATTAGAATTTGGATTAGAATTGACACTTTCAGGGCTATTGAAGCTTTTCAGTAACCTCTATCCCAGGAATTAACTCAAGCCTTCCAAATCAAAAATATTGTTGTTACATCCCTAAACCACCATATAAAACATAAGGAATAGGGAGTAAAAGGCAGACAATTTAGAGGGTAACAGATAATAGGACTCTAAGCCTTCTGTAGTCCTAATCAACTTGGCATTGAGTGAAACACCATTATTTTAAGCAAGGATCCCAGACTGCTCGAGTATGTCCTCAAAAATACCTTTTATTAATTTCCATAAGTTGAATCATCACACGATTATGTCTCTACACAAGAAGTTAGCTAAATAAGCAACACCACACAGAAATCCACCAAGGTCACTTGGGATCTACAAAATCACTCAACAAAGTACCGTAATCAAATATATCCAGACACAATCTTCCACAGTGCGAGTTTGCTAAAATTGATAACAGAAAAACTAAAATTGATAATGCATTTCTACCAAGTTTAAACCATGGCCTTGCTGATGGAAAATAGACCTGAATGAACATAAAAGATTTCTCTTACAAAATGGCACTGCATCATACTTGATGTTTGATGCAACAGAACCAAGATTTCATAGCTCAACTGTTAAGGCATAACCAATTGAACTGAATGGAGAGAGAGAGGAATACAAGAGCTTTTGACGGAGTAGAGAAGGATTTTGTACACTAGTGGAATAGCGTCTTATCCCTTATTTTCTTTTAATGCACCCACTAGATTCCTATATGTATAGAAGATTGGATGTCTTTCATAGAAAACCATATTTCTTCGTAGGTCTTTCTACTTTTCAGTATACTTCTTGTACGCGGGCATGTTTTGCCCTTCTTTTAATGAAATTTATTGCTTTATAAAAACAAATGTATAGCATCTCAAGAAGAAACCATGTAACAACAAGATACATACCTCCGTGACCATCATAGACACCAAAAAAGGATGTTGAAGCATCCAAATCAGGTATTGCTGCATGCTGAACAAAGGAGTAGGACAAAAGGTCAGCTCAAGATGATGTTTATCTCCTACATATTGTTGGATTATCCATAAGGAAAACATTATGATAAGACAAACACTGAGAACATGTTTCAGAGTAACTATGCCAATAAAAAGCATTTATTAAATACTTAAGGTCATAATAGGATGAGCCTGTACAATGCATTTAAACTGATAAAAGCAAACATCATAATCTCAGTCGATAACAACTCCAATTCTTAACTGTATTGTGATTTTAGAATACTAAAGACAATTTTACCTTGAGTAGAATTAATTAAATAACTTTAGCTTATTTCCTTTCACTGAAAGATTACTCCAGCTTCCTTTGACTTATTTAATTCTTTTCTTTTATTTTTATTTTTCGGAAGGAGTCTAAACCGATAAGTGAGATGGGCTGCAAATAGATCATTAAGAGGAAAGAACGCTAACAAGCATAAAAATCATTGTATAGTCCCACTACCAAAGCTTTCCACGTTGTAAATGTTTTATTAGTCTTACAATGAATCTGTCGGCAAAGCAAAGGCAAGTTGGTCAAGACTCTTAGACGGCCATGGAAAAAGATACCAGTTTAACTTCATACCACAAATGTTAGGATACCAGCCAGCACTGAAGATAACAAATTCTACAACTCAGAATGATAAAATGGCTAGAGAAACAAAAATCAAACAAAGTTCAAACAAGTAACTTTGCTCTTGGGTCAGAACGCGAGAAATCAACCATAAACTTAACCTCATCCTCTAGGAACCGCTTGAGACAGCGCAAAATCCCTACTTTTTACCAGATGGAAAGCTGTGAAATTATTACCGCATTTTTCCACTTTGACATTATTGTCTTGTATCATAAATATCTCAAATGTATTGAATAGAAACAAACAACTTATTTCCATTCCACAAATTACATCACAAAACATATTGACTAAAGTAAGTAGCAGGGATACAGGGGATACTCACAGCATCTTCCATTGTTGCACGCCATCCTTGCATTGATGATAAACCATATCTTACCCTAGCATTCTCACCATCTTCTGAGAATTTCTCTGTTTTGGGGGAACTGAGGTATATACCCATTACTTTTAGCTGAAACAGATAAAGAGAAGCACTGACATATCATAAGAACAACCATAGACAAGTGGGAAGCAGTGAACATTTATAGCCAAAACCACTTAGAAGGGGAAAATCAGAATCTTCTGGCCATGTATCCGATTAAAGCAGATATATCGTAATAATGACAGATACAAACAGGCAACAATCTAGAGAAAAGATACAACTGAAGAATCAAGAAAGCAAAATTGAAAAACAAAAGGAAATCATCCTGTAAAGAAAATTACGTAAGAATGTTAGGTACTAGTAAACTCCCATAAGTTATCTGCCCCCCATCCCATGTGCAGGCCTCTATCTACACCATAATTGCAGTAGACAGACATATAATTCACCAAGTGCACAAGAAGCCTATCATCTTCAGAACAGCTGTTAACTTATTTCTCTCTTTCCACATAGACCAGAAAATTCAATGTAGAGAGCTTTCTGATGTTGTCATTGCTTCCTTGAGATTCAAGTACCATACGGTCCATAAGAGGCAGCAGGTAATTTTTTAAGAGAAAATGTCATTACTCAGTGAACGCTGACTAAAGAAGGAACATCTTCCAAATATCTTGAGCGAAATCAGAATAAAGCATCAGATGGTCAACTGATTCCAGAGGCAGACTGACCCTTAAGGATAGGGGTGCACCGATCCCTGTAAGCCTTGGCAAAAATCCTGATATATCTGTATATATATCGAGAAACCCATATACAATTTATTTGTGCCCCCTCAATCAAGGAAGCTGGATTGGTGCACCCATTGAGCAGTCCACTCAAGTTCTTTCCCTTGCTTATTGTGACCTGGGTTCGAGGCCAACTCCAGCAGCTTTGCTCTTTCTCTACTTTTTTTCTTTTCAATGATAGTTTAGTAGTAATAGTCTACTTTGTTTAATATTTCATTTACCAATTCTGAATTGAACTTGAGTTTAGTACTTTTTCATAGTAGTGAACTTAGTTTAAAAAAAAATTCTTTTTCAAATCCCCCCCTCAAAAGTCAAAAGCCCTAATGCACCTTCGCTCTCCACGACTAGAAAAATACAAACCCTTCCTTTACCACTCGCATTGGTGACTGTAGGAAGAGCATTCTCAATCATGAAGCACATCAAAGATGAATTGCATAGTAGTATTAGTGATGCATCTTAAAATGATTGTTTTGTTTATTACTTTGAGAAGGAAATACTTGCAAATGTAAGCAATGATGCCATCATTAACCGTTTTTCAGAAAATAAAAGAACATCAAGTTCAAGTATGAATGGATGACGCACTTTGTTATATTAGTACCAAATTAGTGATATGCGATAATATGGAAGTTTATACTTTGCTAATAAGTTATCACAATCATTAAGTTTTCAATGAGTTGCACGCCGAATTATGTCGCTAGTAATTGGCATATCTATGTTAAAGATAGTGTTGCATCGGCCACACTCAAATCCTAGGTCCGTCTTTGATTGATTCTATAATTTATAATACATACAACATCTGGCAGCAAACCTCTTTCCGCCCTCATCAAATTCAGTCTTGAAATGCTAAACTCTATGATTAAAGAAATTCAACAACTTTTGGTAATAGAGAGAAAAAGCAGATGCTAATGCAATTGACATGCTGTGTGAAATTCATAGGCCAAAATCCTTTGCAATTTGAGCAAATATGCAAACTTAAATCACTATTCATTTCAGCTCTACTTTCAGATTCAATTCAAACACACTTGAAAAAAAAGAAAGTAAATTGAGATCTTAAACTTTTGAAAATGTAGAAATTCAAAATCCCATCTTACCTCCAGAATAGAAATCAGTGCGATTGGATCACTACAAAAGATTTGCTAAATGGCTGACCTTGATAAACATTTCATCTTCTTCCAAATACATAATATTCAGAAATTGACTAACTAAGTATTGAAAATTCGTATTCTAAATTAGTATAATTCACTGGGTGAAAGTGAGAAACTTACAAGTAGATTTGGCCGGAGAAAGAGGCGTCGAATGAAGATTTTGTGATTCCGGTAAAGAGGAATGAGGTGGAAGGTAAGAGTAGGACAAAGTGCGTGTGGATTCTGACGGCTCTTCTCCTTGTCTTCTCATCTAATTAAATACTAGTATTAAATACTGTAATGCAACTTGCACAGAGTACAAAAATTGTGTTCTAATTATTTTTATTATTATTAGGTAATAGAGATGAAAAGTTATCCCTAAGCACAATAGCATATTCACCCCTAAAATTTAGATAAATATTTACTCGTTCCGTAAATAGTATTGTATCTCGACCTATTTCCTTTTTAGTCCGTACAAAAAAAAATAACATTTTTTCTTGTTTGAAAACAATTTACTTTTATGCAATAATTTATAGCCACACAAAATATATGTGACTCATTTTACACCATAAATTAAAAAGTTCTCTCTTTTTTCTTAAATTCTGTGCTCAATAAAATGGATTCTGAAAAGGAGGGGTATAAAATTTGGCACAAAACTAAATAACATAGGATTGTCAGCATATGTCACCAATCTAATATTGTTGGTTTCGGCTTGTATAGCTTAGATTTAGCACTAGGCAAGATATATTACTAGTTTCAAGTATCCACGAGCCAAAGGCATTTACCCCTCATCTCAAATGTAATCAAGGAAGCTTTCTGCTATCTTCCAGCTAGAGTTGGGAAGTTAATAGCAGTGAAATTCCTTCTATCCATGTAACCATCTTTTTGGAGATGAATTAAATGCTTATATTATATATATATATATATATATATATATATATATATTGCTCACATCATAGAGGAGCATAACTTGAGAGTAGTTTGAAATTGTTCACTATTATATATCTCTTTGCGTTTATTTTATGTTACATAGATTCAAACTACACCTCAAGAACCATACAAATCGACTATAATCTCTTGATATCAAGGTGATATTGGACAAAAGAAAACATGCATTGATCTCCACCCCATTTGGTAGTTAATTGTTACAGGTTAAAGCAACAAAAAACTTAAAACTAGTTTCAAAAATAGAACGGACTTTTATATAGTGGCATGGTATCAAGAGGGTTAGTGGACGACGAATTATCCTTCAACGCTTCCCTAATCAAGAATATTGTGATTTGTCATTCATATTGATGTGATGGAAACAATCCATGCACCAATAATAATTATGGGTAGTGTAGTGGCGCCAATATTCTTACTTAGAACATAGAAAAATTTGAATGAGTTCTAACTTCTAATTGGACTGGCAGAAAACAAGGGAACTGTATCATTAGTATCAACACATGACTCTCTAATATCTTAATTTACATAAATCTCGTACGATATACACATGATTTACTCCACAAATGGCTTATAGAAGTGGTTATAATTAGTACTAGAGTTTTTGTTGATTATTGTTTACATAGCGGATAAGATAGTTTATCATCGCTAAAGTAGTGAGTCATCAATCTAACCTCATTTCTTGGTAGAATCAATGTTTTAGGATGTTCTAACAAACAAAATAGAATTGGATTATATGATCAACTATTGGTAAGATGAGAATGAAAAACATGATTTTGGACAGGTGAATCACCGACAATGACATGTCCAACCTCTAAAGTTGGCCTTTTGACTATGACATCTTGCATCGAGTTACACTTCACTATTGTGGATATGCCTAATTAGACCTTGTGGTAGGCAATGCAATTTTTTTTAAAATAAGATCTTATTGTTAATAGTTACTCTTTAGTAAGTTATAAGGTTGGGTAGGACGCATTTTATGTCTTTTCACGTTAGACCTCTACAGCCAGATAGCATGGTGTAAAATACCATAGTCGAGTAAACTTCATATATAATGTGCATTCACTTGTAGTAAAGTTTGGCAGTGATTGCAACATACATTTTTTGTAACAACAAAAATGTATTTATTTAGGCAACACGATATATATTGAGCTATATTCATAATGTGTACACATGCCATGTGTGAGATTCTACAATCGAGAAGTATTCTGTTCATGCTTTTTTCACAATTGAACCTCAGGTGGTCACTCATCCACATGATAAGAACCCACTCAATATTTTTTCAAACTGGAAAGGTCCATCTGTTCCAAGTTTATTAGATATTCCCTCCTTTCCGGCGATCTCTTCCTAAATTTTAAAATAATTTAAAGTAAACTTTTAATTAATTTTATTTTCTTGAAATTTTTTTATAGTCACACAAATACTTTTGCATGTTTAACGCAACCACGCAAATGTTATTTCTTATTTAAGACCATAAATTTTAAAAGTTTTTATTTCTTTCTAAAACTCTCAACCCATTCAAATAGGCTTTATTGAGGCCAAACGCACACGAAAGTATGCACGGTCGTCAAGTAATAAAGTGATACGAAAAGTATCGTTCTCAAGAGGACTTAGTTATCAACTATTAACTAAATTAGACTATCCTAATTATCTAAATAAGGATTATACCCAAAAGTGTTAATTCTAAACTAATTAAAATTAAATTAAATAAAAACACAACGAATAAACTTTAAACAGAGAAAGAGCAGATTTTCACTGTTATCAATGTGATGAAAACCATCTAGTTTATTAGCTATCTAACAATCTTATATATTCTTCACTTAAATTTATTATTTAATTTATCTGGTTTATTTGGTTGACAGGGTTTATATTGCTCATAAGAATCTGTCGACTTCTTACTCTCCTATTCAAGCCAACATAACGCCTAAATGTGTATGGATCTTAGAATCAACAAGAATGAATTCATAATATAGTCAAGCAAGGCAACTAGCATATATATATATATATATATATATATATATATATATATATATATTCTAACTGTGAATATGTTCCCCACTGCCCATGTTCAAGAACTTATTCTACTCAATTCTATGTATAATCTAGAATTCTCACTTTCAAGTTTAATTATAGATTCATAGATAGTATTCAATTGGTGATCACAATCAAATAATTAAGCGTATGATTTAAATCAAGAAATCAATATTAATATTCGAGTAACAATAGTTATGAAAGAACCAAAACCCTATAACGTGAAGTTTAGCTCCACATAGACATGATAACCAAACAACAAATTATCCAAAGAAACATAAAAATTACTAAAGTTTAATGAAGAAATGATGATATCTGGATTTCACGACAGCTCCTTGCTCTCTAAAACCAAAAAGGAAACGAAATAGCGTCGGAAACGAAATGGTTTATTTGTTGTTATAATTGAAGGCCGCAGAGAGTCTATCTCTTCCCGATTTATTGAGAACTAATTTATGTATAAAACCTTGTATAGGTACATTGTTTGCTTAGCATTTTACTTTTTTTTTTTAAATAATACATGAATAAGTTATGAGAAATTCTTTTACATTATTTTATATATTAGTCTTTGGGTATGCGCATTGTGTGTAGCTTATACTAATGGGTATTAAATTTTAAAAATTAATATAAATATAATATTTAACAATATGTTTGATAAAAGTATAAGTTCCTGAAAATGATGATTATTAATCTTATTAGCTAAATCAATAAAGAAAAAAAAAATTATGTCCACACCTTAAAACTAAAATTTCTAATTTGATGAACTCCATAATTCCATAAGAATTAAAACTAAAAGTGAAAAGATGTAAAATGCGACAGAAAAATCAGTAACCACATCTTAAAACTACTCCTTAAAAGTTTTATGATAGAAGAATGTGAAATAGTATCAACATGATTCTATAATGATTATCTTTATGAGATACATAGAATTACTTACCTGAATCAATGAAACTGATGCAATTCTAGCCTGATACAAGGACGGAAATTGCCCTATTTAAATTTCTAAATAACATATTTTAAATCATGTAATACATATAATACAGGCAACTAATCTTATAAAATACAAGCAACTTGAGCTGTTATAATTATAAAACATAGTGCAAACATAATCTTGTATTAATAAGATCCTTAATTGATATGAATTATTGCTTAACCAATTTTTTGCTACGCAATGCAATGAGCCAAACTATCTATACAAAAATTACAAATAAATAAATTTTAAATTGATAATTGTACAAGAGATATTGATAACAAAAATCACAATGATAGCTTTTTAATTTGCAATTGTCCATGAAAAATACACGAACGTCTATTTGTAACTTCAAAAATAACCTAAAGGTTATGAAATTTACCTCGAATTACAAGCAAGTTTACCTTCTCATATATCGACACTATCAAAGAGCTTATGATAAAAAATGTGAAATATTACTTTTTTAATAAAAATATTCAGCTCCTCATTAATTTAAATTTTTAATTTTAAAATTCAAAATTAAAGAAGGAGTTACCATCCCAGGACAATTTAGGTAAAAGAATCTTAAACCTAAAGTTACATCAATTGCTGGAATACTGTTGTTATGAACAGATCTTTTCAATGAATACAAGCTAAAATGAATTCTAAATCTATATTTTGTCAATTGTGGTTTTTATGAAAAAGATATTTTTATTTTACCACAAGAAAATACATGTGGTAATCTAAGTTCAGATTAGATTATTAGGCACCTAAGGATGTTACATATAAAAAAATGTAGCAATTATAGTTTTGTTACAAAATTTAATTAAGAAAAGAGATTTATATAAGGTAAAATCTTAATGAATTTTAAAGTTCTAAATAATAGGAATTCCTACATATTTAAAATAAGGAAAGGTTTAACACAAAAAAGTTTAGTTGATTTCAAATTTCTAGATATTAGAAAAATAATTTAGTTACGAATTTAATACCAGGGTATGCTTATATTATTAAACAAGTGGAGGCAAATGTCTGGCTTCTGAAGAGATTGTTATTTCAGATTCTTGTGGATTAATACTCTGATATTAGTATTGATTATCAGAAGTTCTTGAAATCATCTCAAATCCTCAATTTTCTATATATCACATTGAAAATATAAGTTGTGAAATTCTCAGGACTCTCTTTATACCCCTTATATCTGTACATCATGTGGGTGAAGCTTCTACTTGCTGGTGGAGATGAAAAGTTTTAAGATACTCTATATAGTTCTCTACTCACTTCATAGGTTACATGGTAGTTTACAAGTATACACCTGACTGAACTGGTCTTGTTTGATCCATCAAATTGAGAT